AGCATTTACGGGGAGAGCATTGGTGACCCTTGCTAACCCCACCGAGACCTTATACCAGCGCTTAGCCCCCTTTATTATAATTACATGTAAGTAAATGTATTATTTGGTTGCGCTTTTCTTTGGCATTGTTCTCAACTCTGAAAAGAGACTGAGGAACAGTGTTGAACATAAAAATAAATTTAGAAAAGTGGAGTAATAATCCTACTCCAGTTCTCCAAACATGAAAAAAAAATTGAGCTGCCAATTCAACAGTTTAAAATTTGTGCACAAAACATGTTATGAAACGTTAAGTTACGAAGTATGGATACCGTAACAATTATTCAATCAGATGTTATCTGTTGTTAATTTCAGTTGCTTGAGTCTGTTTGGATCTTTCTGAAGGGAAATATAACTTTTGCATTCAACCTTGTAACTACTGTTCTGTCCATTGCGTTCTTCAGTGGGGCTTACCTTTTGAACACTGGCTTGTCAATGGTGAGTTTAAAATGATAAGACATCATACTCCTAAAATTATATTGATTTGTGTTTCGGAGTAAAATAAATGGAAGTTTTAACTTCTTGCCCTTTGTTAATTTTGAGTCTTTTCAATGAATTGAAAGAATCACCTTCAGGTAAAATTATTTTACTGTTGGCATATCATACTATATTTAAATAGCATTCAAGTCGACCCTAAATTTACAGCAATTCCAAAAGAAAAAGACAGTGGCAGCCTTGCTGGCAGCAACATGATGTCCTGTAAATGGTGAACTCTCACTTACAAGTTTACATAGGTTGATAACAATCGTATTATTTATTGTTTGACATTCATATATTTAAAAGCCAAGTGATTATTGCCACGGATGGTGACTATGATGGTACTAGCAAGTTGTTGTGCAGTTATTTAGTATTTTTAGTATGAAGCAGTATCCTTCATATCTTGCTTTTGGCAAAATTTGTAGCCTTGAAGGTTTTTCACCCTGACTTTGATTTGCCCTCCAGTTGTGTAAACTACAGTGTGTGTGTGAGTCAAAGATCAACAGTGAGTGTAACTGAAGTGTGTTGTTTCAGATTATTTTTGTCACTGCCTTGTTTTACTTGTTGAGCACCTCTGGGGAACAGTACAAACCTGTAGAGTGGTTTGGCAAACTAACAGCCACTGGCACAGCTGGGTTTGGAGATTCTGCCTATGGAGCCATAAGGTTTGTGTGGTTTCATGTAAATTAGCTAACCAGTTACTGTTAATGAACTTTGTGCCAGTCTTTCATTGCCAGTAACATCATGGTAAAATCCACCAATCAATTTTAAGTACAGGAGATTTTAACACCATAGACTGACATTTCAGTCTGAAAATGAGTTCTGCTTATGTTTTAGGGATTGGGGCCGGGTAGGAAATGAAAACTATGATCAGTTTAAACTTGTTTCAACCCTGTTTTTGCAAGGGTTTTAAAAAGTGAGAGGTAAAATAAACAATAACAACTATTAATCCCCCTTGAATAAGGATACCAAACCTCGTTTCCTTTAGTGTGGCTTTGAGAGAGGATGAGGTTTTGTCAACTATTCTTTGTGTGTGTGTGTAATCATTGTTGTCAATGCAAGTGAATACATGATTGTTATCAATGTCCATCATGCCCTCATCATGTTCTAGAGATTAATTTTATCCTCAACTGTTCTGCAAATCATACTTTTGTTGTATTAAATATTGTATTATACTTGTATTAAATTAAATACAGTCAAACCTCCCGTAAGCGACCACCCAAAATGTCAAGCCTAGTCGGTCGCTTACGGGAGGTGGTCGCTTACAAGAGCTTACACCATATTAGATCAAAAGTTTTCCTCATTACCATATGGTAACTGCAGAGACTTAAGGTTACAGTATACCTTCGGGTCGGTAATTTTCTTCAAATTTGGATTTTTGGGTCAAAATAGTGGTCGAAGAATAATCTCTAATTTCTGAAAANTTTCAACCCTGTTTTTGCAAGGGTTTTAAAAAGTGAGAGGTAAAATAAACAATAACAACTATTAATCCCCCTTGAATAAGGATACCAAACCTTGTTTCCTTTAGTGTGGCTTTGAGAGAGGATGAGGTTTTGTCAACTATTCTTTGTGTGTGTGTGTGTAATCATTGTTGTCAATGCAAGTGAATACATGATTGTTATCAATGTCCATCATGCCCTCATCATGTTCTAGAGATTAATTTATCCTCGACTGTTCTGAAAATCATACTTTTGTTGTATTAAATATTGTATTATACTTGTATTAAATTAAATACAGTCAAACCTCCTGTAAGCGACCACCCAAAATGTCAAGCCTAGGCAGTCGCTTACGGGAGGTGGCCGCTTACAAGAGCTTACACCATATTGGATCGAAATTTTTCCTCATTACCATATGGTAACTGCAGAGACTTAATACCCCATGTTTTAAATGTTTCAGTCATCTGAAAAGTCAATTTGGAGAGACAATCTGGTACTTTCCATTGAGAAATTTCTGTCTCTTGTATTACCGAGGAATGTGATAATGTTACAACACCTTATTATCCAATTTTTGCTCTATTTTCTGTCAAGTGGTCCCTCATGGGAGGTTAAAAACAAAAGAAAATTTCAAACTTTTAGCTCTAAAAGTGGTAATGGTCGCTTACAAGAGGTGGTCGCTTATAAGAGGTTCCAAATATAGACTTGGAAACTTTTGGTATTTTGGAAAACTAGTCTGAGGAGAGGTGGTCGATTATGAGAGGTGTTCGCAACCGGAGGTTCGACTGTAAAGCAAGATTAATTATTTTAGTGTATATTTTAATACAAGTAACATAATTAATATGTTTTGCCAGGGGTGTTTTTGGTGCAGCAGTTAAGATGGCAACTTTCTATGGCATCTACACATGGCTGACCCATACAACATTTGGTGTAAATATTGTATACATACCCTCAGGTTGGTTTATATTTACAACTTGTCATTATTTTGTTTGAGAATGGAGTAAAAAATACACCAAATATCTAATAGACCTTTTTCAGAACATTGTTCAAGTAAAGCCCTTGATGTGTTGATCTCTAATTAATATACCTTAAATTACCTCAATTTTCATTTAGCATTTGCTGCCATTACTGCTGTTGTTCCTTTTATTGGCACATATTGGGCAGCAGCGCCAGCTGTACTTGATTTGTGGCTAGTCCAGGGTCACGGAATAATGGCGGCTGTCTTAGCAGTCTGCCATTTCCTACCCACGTACTTTGTAGATGTCGCTATTTACAGTGAGATCAGTGGGTATGTGCTTTTCAATTTACAGTTGTTTAATTAGTTTTGGTCATTTTATGTTAATTACCTTTAAATGGATTGAATTGCAAAAGCAGTATTGCCTGTTAATTAGGGGATGGCAGTTATATGTCTACAGGGTTTGCAGCTGTGGGTGGCATTGGCATGTGGGGGATAGTGAAGTAGCTTAAAATCTAAAGGGTTTTGGCTGCAATACTGACCAAAAGTCCNATAAAATTATGAAACAGTTTGAGATCTCTCATCTCTCATCTTAAACAAGAAAAGTTTTCTTTTTATGAGACTTTCACTGACACTTGTAACTGTCACAATGCATCTTAAGGTGGCTCCCTAGAGTATTAACGAACACCCTCCCTTAAGAGTGCGAGTTAGAAAAGGAAACTCAGTTAATTTCTCTTAAAGTTTTCCCTGTAGAGATTTACCAGTATGGGTACTGTTAAAATAAGGCATATTTTTTGGTTGTCAATTATTGGATTAAGGCCATTACCATGGCAACATCTCATCTAATGACAGGCAGATATATTCCTCATTTTGACCTAAACTCCTTAACATTTATACTTTCCTTCAGTGAAATTTTTTCATACTTTGCCAGATCATGGAAATGATATTGCCTGACATTTTGAATTGGTAAAAAGTCAAGGTTGTTCAGACCATTTTTCCAATATTCTGTAATTTGTCATAATTCTTCTAAATACAGGTACATTAGATTAGCTCTGACAGATTTTGACAAAAATAGGGTATTTTATTGGAATTGTATGTGGTTACAACTGAGCCAAATTTTAAAAAAATTCACTGAAGGAAATGCAAGAAAATTCACTGTCAGTTTTGTGTTTTGTCCTCATGGTGATGTCATAAAAATCGGAAAGCACTTATGTTTTCCTTTGAGCTCGTGCAGATTACTTGAGTTTTCGTCCTATGTGCGCGTGCAATCATAAAACTATAGGGAGCCACCTTAAAGCACACTTCCAAAGCAGAAAACATCAACCTTAAAATTCTTCCTTCTTAAAATTCCTGAAGGCCAGTGAAACTGGCTGAATTATTGGATTTTATATTCTTTTAACCTCTGAACAATCTCAAAAAGTAAAGACAACATTTTGAGTTTTTATGGTGGTCACATGTCTTCATTGTTTTGTTGGGAATTTATGCCACAACTTTATGTTTCAAAAGGAGTTAAAGAAAATCCATGTTCATTAATAGGTAGAAAATATTTGACTGGCAATAAAGTTATTGGTTTGGTTATTGGACTTCTCAGCTGTTTATTATTTATTTTCATATAAAGATCCTTTCTTAGATCCTAGGCATTGAATTAAGGTTTGTGGACTTGCTACTGTTAGTACTGGGGCAATACAAACCGTTGCACAACTAATGAAGCCAAGGTCTTTGTCCATCCTGTCAAAGAACGTGACAGGAATGTTGAGTAAAAATAAGTAGTGATGAGTGGGCACATGCTTTCTACATTTCTCAAAAAAATATGACTTTCCATGTTTTATGATATAAATTTAATATTGTTTACTACTGCCACGTTTTGTTATTGTTCCGTGAAAGTAAACAAAGCTCAGGCATTCAGCATGAGGAGTGATATTATTGTGGGATGGAGGAAAGACAGAAATAACTATTGTTACAGTATATTCATCAAGTACACAAAAAGACAGTAGGAAAATTATGGAGATAAATTCGAGCAAAATTTAACATAAATTGCTTGACACCAGGTAGTCCTTTTGATTAATATTGTTCCACAATACACAAGGAGAGAATTGCATTCAGTTTACAAACGCTTTATTGACAATCAATATTATTTTATTAAAACTTGCATACCCTTGGGAAATTTTCTACAATTTATGTTCCATTTTGAAAACTGTGGTGTTATTTTAGTTTAAAAAACATTGTTTGCTACTCAAGTTTAAATTTGTGTGTTAATATTCTTTAATACCCAGTGTTGAACAAATTGTTGGTTTTAAGACAAAATAATGTGGCTTTACAAGTGTTAGAAAACTTCTAGCAACTAATATAAGTAAGTGAAATAAAAAAATACAGAATATGTTTAAAAGTTATTACATTAGGTGAGTTTGCTCTTGCTGTCTTGCTTGTGGAATATTTAAAATAAAGTAAACTCTCTGTTTGTAAGCGTCATCTCATCAACGAACCTGAAAACGATTGAAACAAGGAAATGGTGATCAGCTACATATACATATATAGTGGCTGAATTAACACTCTACACACGTCACAAATTGAGGCCAACAAAAACTTGTAAATAGTAATGATACAGTGAAACTTATTTACAAAGAAGAGATGACATGACACAGCACAGCAGGAAAAATGATTTGTGGCTGTTGCTACATAAATGTATGACCTGGAGTGAGTTCAATCCCAAGAAGTAAACAACGTGCTGCAGGAGTAATTTAGCTGACCAGGAAGTTTCCAAAAGTGACAAAACAATGTAGGTTGACAAATGCACTTGATGTCAAAATCACTGAAAATGTTGGGCATGGATTCATAGTCCTCTGCACAAATTTCAACCCTTAACCTGTGAGCAAGCTCTCAGAGTCACGGGTGGAAGGAGAACTCTCCTTCTCTCCATGCCCTACTCCAAGAGAACTTGCTTTCAGGCTATTCAAGCCTATACAGGTGTTAACAATACTGGCCAATCTTTTGATTACCCCTGGTCACCAAAAAAGAAAAAAATTCTAGAATGACCTGGCCCAGGTTGTTCAAAAGGTGGATATGCTATCCACAGGATAAATAACTATTCAGTAGATAACAAGGTTTGTTTGTTAACACTTATCCACTGGATAGCAATTTATCCCGTGGATAGTGTTTACTTATCCAGCCCTCAAACAACCTGGGCCTGATCTGTTACAGATTCACATGTTTTGGAGTACATGTATGTAATGAAAACAAGTAAGCACTTGACAACAAAACTGCTTGAGATGTTCTGTGTACCTTGTCATTTCACTATTTACTCGAGGGTGATGTTCATTCTGTGTCCATGTTTCATGCTGTACTCCATCTTTCATCCAGTAGCTATAGTTTATATTTGTTGTTACTTGAGTATGGTAAATTTCATTTGGTCCTGCACGTAAAGTAAGATATCAAAATAGTTAAGGAATGTTAGTGTTTACATCATCTGCACATGACGAACATTTACTGTGAGACTAGCCTGCAAACGCAGGCATATTTTGGCAAGCGAGTGAATTTTGATAAAGCAATCTTGGATTTAAACTTGCAAGAGGCTTGGGGAAAGATGAAAAGGCATCCTAGGGAGTAGGAGTGAGGCTAAAAGAGGAGTAAGGGGGAGGATCTACTCAACCACAAGCTAATACTGAAAACTCGTGAACACATGGAAAACGCCTGCACTGCAGGCTACAATGAGACTGCTTCTGAGCCCCACTCTACAATAACTATTGTTTAAAGTTCTAAAGATTGTTCAGAACTTAAAAGTTTTGAATAATCTCTCCCTTTTAGGATATAAGGATAAAACTGAATGTGATTATGAATTTGCATGGTTAAAATAATTCTACAGTGTAAGTTTCATATGTTCACTGTTGTTTTCTTTCAGTTCTAAGTACACTGAAGTGTTACTGGTCCAGAATTTCACTCGACTTCAAATCAGAGATTGCTTTCAGGATTTCTTTCTAATATTAACTTATGATTGTGCGTCCAAATAAAGCTAAACAACCACACAGTGTTCCCTAGGATACTCATTCCATCACTTCCGGAGTAAACTATTCCTTCCTGACCGTTTGTCTCCATTTAAATAACTTGAAAATAGCAGTTGTATCCCATCAAACACTTTGAAACTGTTGCCTTATTTGATAAAGATATTTGATAAAGATAATGATAAGGAAGTACCCCCCGGAAGGGTATTAATCGAGGTTACAAAGCAAAGCTGGTTCAATCAATAATCAAAGCTTTCAAACCGTTATCGCGTTTACCTTTTCTTGACAAGATATTCCTTTTTGCAACAACAAGAGTGTCGACTGTTCTAGTTTATTTGACTTTTACAGTTGCACCCGCCTAGCAACGATACGAAATATTTTTCATATCGTACGATAATCAAAACCAACAACGTTGCATGAGGAAAGCAATTGAAAGCAACAGAGATATCTGATAGCAGCGTTAACACTCTAAAGCTATTTACACATAATTGTATAAGCTTACTGAATTGAATTCAAGAATTCGTGATAAAATATCTTTGACTAAGTAATGTAAACTTAGATCTTACCAAGTTTTGGTCGGATGTGTTTGTGTACGCGTTCAGTGTACTTGACGTAAGATCCGTTCGCTTCCGAGTTCGGGTAAACCGGCTCGCTAAGCGTAGTTCTTTGTGTTCCACTGGTGGATTTTGCTGTACCTGGGTGGTCACTAGGTGCTGGTGTCGTTCCTGGTCTAGTTACAGCGGCTTTAATTGGGTCTTGCAATCCCAGACGTGTCAAATTAAAGAAAGCCATCGCTAACTAACGCGTCTGCAGACGACTCAATTTTGCCATAGCTGAGATCGATACGCACGTGTTGCTATGGTAAACAACCTCGTTTTCATTTCAGAAGTCTGGGATCTAACGCGATCAAAATGGCGGGCCAGCAAGAGGAGGTTTGTCATAAGATCTTGTCGAAATTTCCATCTGGAATATCCTTTGCTTTTGCTTATGGTTCGGGAATATTCCATCAAAAAGGAAATATTTCCTCGCAGAACATGCTAGATTTCGTATTTGTCCTTCAAAATGCTCGTAAGTGGCACGAGGACAACATGTACGGTAAACATCACGCCCATCATTACTCGTCACTCCGCTGGTTTGGTTCAAGGGCTTTAGTGCCATTGCAAGACAAACTCGGTGCAGGTGTGTACTACAATACTCTGGTACCAATGGAAGGAAGAATGATCAAGTATGGAACTATTAGCCAAGACAATTTTCTTCTAGACTTAAACGATTGGCAGTGGCTTTATTTGGCCGGACGTCTGCACAAACCAGTTCACTTGATACTGCGACCGAATGACGAAGATATTTTATCAGCTTTGAAGGCGAATTTAAATAGCGCTGTCACTGCAGCACTCCTTTGCCTTCCTGAATACTTCACAGAGGAACAGCTTTTCCTGAGGATTGCAGGATTGTCTTATGCTGGAGACTTTAGAATGGTTGTTGGCGAAAACAAGAATAAAGTTCAGAACATTGTTAGTTCAAATTTTGAATCTTTTCAAGAGCTTTATAGGCCAATTCTTTTGAATTCTGGTCAACTGCATTTTATTTCTTCTTCTGGAAAATATCACCAGGATCAGGCAAGTGACGTAATATTATCTCGACTAATGTCCTTACCCAAAAACTTACAGCTTAAAGTAGCTCAAGCTCTTGAAGGTAAAAAAGTCAAACCCTCTTTAGTTGAGAGTGCATTAGTCAAGGCTTCAAAAGATAGAGCTGACTGCTCCCAGTTAGTTAACAAAGGCGTGACATCTATTGTGAAAAGATCTAGTATTACTCAGAGTGTTAAAGGAATCTTTACTGCAGGAGGTCGTAAGACATTGATTTACAGTGGGCAAAAGCTTACAAAAATGATGAAAGGAATTTTTGGAAGATGAATTTCAGTTTTGATATTCAACTTTAAAGTTGGGCAATTTACATACAAGGGTTTATTGTGTTTTGATTGATGGCAGAAGTTATTAGAAATTAAATTACACTTTTAAGATGAAAACTGAGGTGATAATGGAGCTGCATTTTAAAGTGGTACTATGACGAAAATCGCATCTTTCCTATCGCAGCCATTTTAAAACATGAACAAGTAGCCTGTGTGGGAAGAAAAATGCTGTTTACGATATTCAAACATCTCTTTTCATTCCAGAGATATTCAAGTTTTTAAAATATGCAAATTAGCCCAGTGATGACATCATACACTCAACCAAATTTTGATCAAATATGATGAAAAAAGATATCTCAGTCAATTTGTATCAGAAATATTTGATTCTTTGCAGTAAGATCCTGCTAAATGTGCTCCACAATATGAGCTTAACAGTTTGGTTACCATGGCAACATACTGGGTTCCAGACCTCCCCAATATTAAAGGCATTTGTGGCCATCTTTGGCCTTCCATTTTGATATTTGCAAATGGTGCCTCACATGCTTTATCCAGCAAGCATATAAATATGTTAGCTCAAGTTTGTGGCCTCGTTTAATGTTAATTTGCGACCTGAACATCACTAACATATTGAAATCAAGTGGGTGGGGACTGGAAACGAGTGAGTTGCCATGGGAACAGAATTTTTTATAGCCGTAGGTGTGTTTCTTGTAGAACTATTAACCCACCAAATTTCAATGGTCTGCACTGGAAATAATTGACCAATATAGCTCCACTTATATACTTGATATAAAATTGTGTTGAGTGTATGACATCATCAGTCATCTCATTTGCATATTTTACACATTTTTCAAAATTAAATATCTTAGGAACTAATACAGATATTTGCAAACAGTAAACGGCATTTTTATTCATGGAATTCTATGCGATACACCTAAAAAATCAAGGGGGAAAAATTTGATCATAGTACCACTTTGAAGTAAACTGCTGTTAGCTATTCTACATCATAAGCATAATTTATTTGAGCTCACTCTGAGTATTGCACCAGTATTTTTAAATGCAATGGGTCCACAGTAGAAACTTGTCCTTATTTGATCTGGTAATTATGAATAAAACTTGCTAAAAATATATTAAAATTTCTGCTCATTATGTTGTAGTAATTTGGAAATTATGCAATTTCTATAATTCTGAAACAGTTGCTAAAACTTTCGTTTAAAAATCATTTACAAGGTAGCAGTCTCCTCCCTTACAACCTTGTAGCTAATCTAAAAAAATTTCCTGTTAGAGAAATGACTTTTATCCAACGAACACAAAAGAGACTCATAAAGCTTTTGGGATTGCTTTGTAAATTGTTTCCTGAGAAGCTTGTAAGTCTTATTTGGCATTACATTGGGATACTTATTCTTTATTGGTTTCTAAAAGCCTTAATTTCTGCTGAAGCATTTTTTTCTGTTCCAACAATAACTATGGTTACGAGTATTCATTATATATCCTTAGCTTAGAAAATTGAAATGGTTCAACTAAAATGGAATATTTTCGTTTTCTTTATTGCGGTTCAAATTGCTCATGAAAACAGTTTAAATTGTATGGAAACACAGAGAAATATTTGAAGAGTATAGACAAATCTAGAAGAGATTTAAATCAGTTTACCATATGGGCCTAACAAGTACCCTGTCGCCAGGGCCGTAGACAGAAAAAATATGACTGAGGCAATGACCATGGTTTTAACCATTTTATTCCCCGGTATTTAGATCTGTTTTACTTTCCTGCTCCAAAAAAATAAATAAATAAATAACATAAACGATTGGCGCTTTCCATTTGTAAGAAGCTTGTAAGAAAACTTGAAATCAAATGGAATGTTCCATTCCGCTGGAAATGTTTTGGGAAAAAGACACGATTTGCTCTTTTCTCGGTTTTACCGTAATCGGGAAATCACCGTACCATTTGCTTTTCAATCTCTCTACATCCTCCTTAATGAAATAAGCAGTCGTTCTCGTGGAAACTGAAATGGAACAGTCCTTTGTACCGGAATGTTTTCAGATCCTGTCAAATAACACACGCTCGTCCGTCATTTTGTTTGTTGATAAGTAGTACTGTTCCATCCGACGAACAATTCTCAACAGTTGATCCAGGTAAGAAAGTGTTTCTTGTTAGAAAAATATGTTCTCGCCCCATGCCAGACGGCCTCGGCTAGATACAGTGTGGGGCCCAGTTCTCGGCCACTTTTTGTTCAGCGTTTATTTTTCGCGCCACAAATGAATCTGAATAAAAAGCAATTGTTTCCAAAAGTAGCTTGATTCCTTGTCTTCCGTTCTGCCAAGTTTTGTTTCGTCCTGCCGAGTTTTTCTGTGAGCACGTCGAGATGACGCGAAGGTAGGTGAATTTGGTTTCCCCGAAAACGTGTTTGTTTACGGCTACTCGAATTACATGGTTTAATTCAAGTTTATATTTTGTCCGTCNTTGAGCGTCCCTAATGATGACGTTGAAAAAAAGTTATATATTCATGATGTAGCCACAGACATCAAGGACAACATCTATGTACTGGTCAGATACGAGAAGAAGACTGGATCTGAAGGATTTTTTGTTTATCAATTTAGCAACACCGCTGGCCTGCATCACAAGTTTCCTGTGAGGGAAGGGTTCTTGTACAGTCTGACAGTCATCAACAGTCAAGTACTGGTAGTGAGTTGGTCCAAAGTGGGTGTGTACGATACTGATGGACAGTTTGTTCGTTCGTTTGGAAACGGAATATTGCGCTTTGCGGAGGATATCACTGCTGCTAATGATGGCCATGTTATGGTAGTGGAGTGGGTTGATTCCCGTGTTCACATATTCAGTGAAGACGGAAACCATCTGAATCAATTTAAACTCCAAGGATGTTATTTCTATTTCAGAATTGCATTTCACCGGTTGAGTGAACATGTCGTCATCGCCGTTAAGAAAGAAGAGCCAGACTACCCTGGTCTCCTGCATGTGGAAATATTCACAAAAGATGGCGACTTTGTGCGCAGCACTCAGATCCATGAAGAACGAATTCACCGCATTACAGGAATGACGGTGACCATGGATGGACGAACTGCTGTTCTTCTGAAAGATACCGATGACAAATGGAAAGTACATGTACTTGTTATATAAAACATTAAAAGTAATATATAGATTTAGCCAAGCCTAAAAACGGAGCTCCTGGGCCAGGTTGTTCAAAGCCCGATTAAGCTAACCCAGGAGGAGCGAGAATTTTGATTTGGGATTTGTAACTTTCCGGTGAGGTTTTCTGTTTTTGTTGTTTGGCCTTTTGTTTTGAGTTTGAATAATCTCAAGGTACTCAAAATACACAAAACAAAAGCAGCAATCAAAACTTATACTTCGATTAACTTTTATAATCAGCGGTTAGCGTCAACGGGCATCCGAACAACCCGGCCCTGTTTACAACAAGTTAACCCGTGATCTAATCGAAAACCAGCGCTTGGTTAGCGATCAACTTAAAAAAAAGCTCTAAACTTGAGCCCACGATATGGTCACATGATACGGGTCAGCAGATATCTTGTTTTGACAGGTGTCAATTCACCATAACATGGATGTCCAATATCAAAGAAGGACGTTTGGGTGTATGTTTCTGTCAGCCAATTAGCTGGATTATGCCCGTCATGTTGCGCGACCCCTTGGCCGCTGTCGTCGTCGTACGTACGCGCCCACGAGCAATACCGCTAGCCATGATAACCATGAGAAAATCAATTCATGTGTTTCCTTTTCTTTCCTATATGGGTATGGGGCTCCGTTTGGCGGCCCTTTGGGCCGCCGGAGCTCCGCTAATATGATGTTATGAGGCTGTAACTGAAAATTTTGTCGCGTAACTGAAAGAAAGGAAATTAGCTGCAGAACGCAGGGCCACTTTGGACCACCTCGTTTACATATACAGGTGTCAAAACCTTTTAATTAAGTGGTACTATGGCGAAAATCGCATCTTTTATATCTAAGCCATTTTAAAACATAAACAAGTAGTCTGTATGTTTGCTAATGGTGTCTCATATGCATGATCCAGCAAGCATATGAATATGCTAGCTCGAGTTTGTGGCCTCGTTTAACGTTTTTTGAGCTGAAAATCACTAACATACTGAAATCAAGTGGGTGGGGACTGGAAAAGAGTGAGTTGTCATGGAAACAAAATTTTTTATAGCCATAAGTGAGTTTCCCGTAGAACTATTTGCTTAGCAAGTTTTAATGGTCTGCGCTGAAAATTAGCTAAGATAGCTCTATTTAAATACTTGATATAACATTGGGTTGAGTGCATGACGTCATCAGTCATCTGATTTGCATATTTTACATATTTTTTAAACTTAAAATATCTCCGGAAGTAATGCAGATATTTGCAAACGCTAAACGGCGTTTCATGGCATTCTACGTGATACACCTAAACAAAACAAAAAGTAAAAATTTGATCATAGTACCACTTAAAGAAAGAAGCATAACACAATAGCCACTTTTGTGATTCAATGACATGTAAATAAGTGGCCCTGTATCCTGTAGTTTACCTGAATTGGATCTAAAATATAACCATTCGCTAGTGACCAGTGGAAGAATAAACACACATATGATCAGAACCTTTTCATATGATTATCAAATTTTGATCAGTGTTATTTTCCAGATGAGCCTGGGTGAAGGGTATTACCTTCTTTCTTGCTCTCCCCGTAACCCTAGCGCATTTGATCCACTCATTTGATTATCCCCTACCCGGAATTTTTTTTTTTTTGCAAAAATGCTAAATTGACTGAGCAGAAGAAGAGTTATGTTATAACAGTACGTTTTACTTTATATACTATGCAACTTAAAGTGCAATTAACCCTGAAAATGGCTATTAGCTTAAATGAAACTACTTGTCTCCTAAAGCATTTCCGCGAAAAAAGTTTTGCATTTGGTTGAATCCTGGATTTGCTATGCCTTTTGGAAGTCGTGTTTAAATTGTTACATGACCGCGTGTAGAGAGTCTGGAGTGGTGAATGCTGATGACCTATATCCAGGAAACAAACACAATAGCACCGTAGTCAATCCTCTGACTATTTACTCAAGAAAATGGAAAATAAAACCAATCATTCCAATATATTTAGGGACTAAATGACCAAAGTTTGTTTCAAGATCATTTCTTTTTTGTCACTGGAGTCAGAGTTACTTTTCTATAAGGAAGACTCTAAACCTTGATCAAGCGTGTTTGACATTCGTCAACTCCCTTCTTTTACCATAATTTAGAGAGCATTGAGAGTAATTTGCGGTGCCTCAAACAACGACGGGAAAGACTTCTTTGTGGACAAGCTGCATATGACGAATGGCGAGCTAGATGTG